GAAGACTTTGTGACTTAAGATTTTCAAAATTTTTTGCAATTTGAAGTGCGATTTCAACTATATTCTATGAATGTGAAATCACAATAAACTGCATAAACAGCCATGCAAGAACTACTATAGAAATCACACGATAAGACACTGACATTCACATTTATTAGATGTGCTTTCACGTGTGAATTCAATTCCCAAATTGCACTGATATGACCGGGCACTCACGCCCCGCCATGACCGGGCACTCACGCCCCGGTCACACCAAACCCGACTGAAATTGTGCGACTTCACTGTAAGTTGCACGATTTCAACGTAGTGTTTGATGTGACCGGGGTGGCGAAGTCGCACAGTCTCAGTCGGGTGCGATGTGACCGTGGGTGGCGAAGTCGCACACTCTCAGTCGGGTGCGATGTGACCGGGGTGGCGAAGTCGCACACTCTCAGTCGGGCACACTCTCAGTCGGGTGCGATGTGACCGGGGTGGCGAAGTCGCACACTCTCAGTCGGGTGCGATGTGACCGGGGTGGCGAAGTCGCACACTCTCAGTCGGGTGCGATGTGACCGGGGTGGCGAAGTCGCACACTCTCAGTCTGCAGATGTTTATACAAGTCGCACCTGAAGTAGATATCAGTGTGGCTCCCACCAAGTCCAAATCGCACCGATAATATGATCGCTGTAATGGCAGACAATAGGGTGAGACTTGGCACTGCATCCAGGGTTACCCGGGGCGAAGATAGCAGCACGTGTGCAATTCTGCAACCACCACCTCAGCCAGGTGCCCCCCAGGAAGACTGTCCTCTCTTCCACAGACACGTGTGGGGTGAAGAAGAAACCCTCTTGACCCCCCTATACATGTTCCCTCTACACAGGACACGTGCTCACAGCTCAGGCCGCCCTGAGGCATGCTGGGACTTGTAGTCCTCAGCAGCACAGCCACGTTTCAGTCTCCCGTCTCTCAGCCCGGAATATGGTGCAGTGAGTGCCCCCCGCAACCCCGCTCACCTGGTACTCCATCCTGACGGCGGGGACGGCCTGCACGCTGAATCCTCGGTACAGACACGAGCCACACTCGTAAGGCAGCAGCCGGAGCAGCGCGTGGAAAGGCCGGTACCGTAGAGCCATGCTAGGGACACCAAACACGCCCCCCTGACCCCGCCACGACCCAGAAAGCGGCGTGTCACCGGCGCCATCTTGTGTGTGGCAGGAATATGACAGCCGGCGAACCTGGGCGACAGCAACGGGACACGCCCACTGCGGAGCCAGGGCAAAGGCGCGGGGCTGGGGCACTCAAAGTGTTCCTAAACCCAAGACCCGCGTCCGCTATAGCAGCTCTCCCCGGACCCTGCATTCACTATACCCGCTCTCGCCGGACTCCGCGTCCACTATAGCCGGTCTCCCCCCGGACCCGCATTCACTATATCCGGTCTCCCCGGACCCTGCATTCACTATAGCTGGTCTCCCCGGACCCTGCATTCACTATATCTGGTCTCCCCGGTGCATCACTATACCCGGACCCTGCATTCACTATACCCGCTCTCCCCGGACCCTGCATTCACTATACCCGCTCTCCCCGGACCCTGCATTCACTATACCTCTCCCCGGATCCGCGTCCACTATAGCCGGTCTCCCCGGACCCCGCATTCACTATATCCGGTCTCCCCGGACCCTGCATTCACTATACCCGGTCTCCCCGGACTCCGCGTCCACTATAGCCGGTCTCCCCGGACTCCGCATTCACTATATCCGGTCTCCCCGCGACCCTGCATTCACTATAGCCGGTCTCCCCGGACTCCGCATTCACTATATCCGGTCTCCCCGGACCCTGCATTCACTATAGCCGGTCCCCCGGACTCCGCGTCCACTATAGCCGGTCTCCCCGGACCCCGCGTTCACTATAGCCGGTCTCCCCCGGACTCCGCGTCCACTATAGCCGGTCTCCCCGGACCCCGCATTCACTATAGCCGGTCTCCCCGGACCCCGCATTCACTGTACCCCGCTCTCCCCCGGACCCCGCGTTCACTATGTCTGGTCTCCCACTGTATACAGAACATGGAAGTGTAATTGTAAATATAAACTGCTAAATACCTTTTCTCATCAGCAGTTAGAGCAGTCTTGTGACTTCTATCAGTGTCCAGCAGAACACTGGTTAAAGCTTGTAGGAGGAGTTTTCATTCTACTCTAGGAGGATGCAGGACCCCTGACCTCTGTCTGGACAGTGCTGATTGGCCCTGTGCTGATCACATGCATTCTCCCAAGAAAAGAAAAAAAAAGTCTAGCAATACACATATAGTGATCTATTGCTGATTGATTGCACCCCAGTCCAGCTGCTGCCCACCGCAGCAAGTCCCTGCTATGGTGATCTGTTGCTGGCTGAGTGCACCCCAGTCCAGCTGCTGTCCACCGTAGCAAGTGTCCCTGCTATGGTGATCTATTGCTGGCCAAGTGCACTCCAAGTCCAGCCACTGCCCACCGCAGCAGGTCCCTGCTCTGGTGATCTATTGCTGGCTGATTGCACCCCAGAGATCTGTAATACAGACAACCACCAGTAGCTCAGTCTGTCTCCTCCACCCCCTCACCTCTCCTGGTAGAACAACCAGAAATCTTGTCCCTCTGGATGCCCACATTCTCTCTGCAGCCAGCAGGTAGTAATAACCGGACCCTCCTCCGGACTCCCGGCAGTGACATCCTCTGCACTCTCCATGTGATTGGTGCAGTGACCCCGGGCAGAACGAACTCTCAGACCCTGGCTAATACTATTTTTTGGAACATGAAATCCTAGTGGAAGGACATTTCATCTGCCACGTCTCTGGGTTTCATAATTAATTGCCTTTTATTTAAATTCAATCCTTGTTTGTTTTTACCCTTAGCTGCATCTCAGTGTTGCTGATCTCCTGTAGACTTTTTGCAGCCACTTGCTGAGGACATGCATGTCATTTCTCAGGGCGGGTTTCCTGATGGTGACAACAGTGGATCATGTTTGAAAAAAAGTGTCTTGGAACAGCTGCTTGTCTCCATCAGGGTGACAATGCAGGAGCACACCTGAGAGACCAGGACACAGCGTTGTCACCACAGCTTTCTTTCTCAGAGAATAGGTGCAGGTACATTTGAGTCACCCCTTGTCTCTGCCCCCAATCCACCTCCAAGCACCATCCCGTGGTTCCACTCCAGCAACAATAGATCCTCCGAGCAACAATATATCCCCCAGCAACAAAAGATCCTCCCTCACAACAAAATTCACCCCAGTAACAACAATAGATCCACCCCAACAACAATAGAACACTGCCAGCAACAATAGATCTCTCAGCAGCCAGCAACAATAGATTCCCCTAGCAACAATAGAACCCCACCAGCAACAATAGATCTCTCAGCAGCCAGCAACAATAGACCCCCCTAGCAACAATAGATCCCCCTGTAACAAGAGATCCTTCCTCACAACAACATTCACCACAGTAACACAATAGATCCACCCCAACAACAATAGAGCACCACCAGCAACAATAGATCTCTCAGCAGCCAGTAACAATAGATTCCCCTAGCAACAATATGCCCCCTGCAACAAGAGATCCTCCCTCACAACAAAATTCACCCCAGTAACAACAATAGACCCACCCCAACAACAATAGAACCCCACCAGCAACAATAGATCTCTCAGTAGCCAGCAACACTAGATCACCCTAGCAATAATATATCCCCCAGCAACAAGAGATCCTCCCTCACACAACAACATTCAACCCAGTAACAACAATAGATCCGCCCCAACAATATAACCCCCACCAGCAACAATAGATCTCTCAGCAGCCAACAACAATAGACCCCCTAGCAACAATATTTCCCCCAGCAACAAGAGATCCTATCTCACAACAAAATTCACCCCAGTAACAACAATAGACCCACCCAACAACAGTAGAACCCCACTAGCAACAATAGATTTCTCTGCAGCCAGCAACAATAGACCCTCCAGCAGGCAATAACAATAGACCACTCCCTCAACAGTAGATCCCTCCCAGCAATAATTGACCCCACGGCAACAATAGACCTCCCCAGCAAACATTAGACCCTCCGGCACACCCCATCACATATATTCAGTGCTGGAGGTTCCCCTGCATTTGTGCTATAATAAAGCCCTGGTTGTCACCCTATAGCAGGAAGTGTCTCAACATGGACCTTCATAATAAATCAGCGGTATTATTTGAATGCAAGCTGCAGATTTGGGAATATTGTGCTAGGTGTGTGATCCTGAACTGACATCTGCTTTCTTCCTGAGCTCCATGTCTAGCAATATGCTGTATGTACAGGACACGGACTCTACGAAGAGACGTGGGAGGATCGGTGGTATCCTGGGAAAGGGGGTCTGTTTCTACAGACAGAAGGCACCATGCTCTATCAGCCAAGGACATGCTGTATGTCAGAGAAATGTGCAAATATTAGCCCGGGGTTAATGTGTGACCTTGACATTTACACTACCTGTATGATGGAGGATTCTTTACATTATATTAAAAATTAACGAACCCAAGAGAAGGCAGTGCATTCAGTAACAAGTATGTGTTTGTTTGACCTGAAGAAGATGTGCAAACTAGGGGTGAACCATAGTCAAGGCTTTACGTCTGTTTTCTGATTATTGGTACTACTTAGTGACATGATTAAAGCCTATCTAGAACAAAAAATATCACGTATTGCAGCTTACTAGTCCCTTGGTGGCTGCATTCGTATTCTAAAAGGTTGAGAACATTTTCAGCAAGTGTAGAAAATGTCTAATCTTGCCAAAAATGCTTCATGTCCCCTGCCATGTTTTCTTGTGAACAAAGGTGTAAAACCCGCAGCTATCTACAGAAGACTTCAAACACAGTGCAGTGATGAGACGCTCAGCTGCAGTAAGACATCTGAATGGTGTAAATGTTTCAAAGATGGCCGTACGTCCATCAGTGACCATCCCAGCCATGGTGGTTCTCAGCCCACAGCAGTCATTCCTCTGAACAATCAGCGTGTGGAACACCTGATCCTGGATAAAAAAGGGATGCTAGTGTGTTACTACATGCAGTAGTATGTGGCAAGTATTACTGATAGGTGGCACACATGTTGGGGGCCAATCTAGAGACCGTTGATCAAGATGGCAGACAACAGTGTTAATGCGTGTATGGAACAGCGTGTGGTGATGACGTGTCTTGTGAACGAAGGCGTAAAACCGGCGGATATCTACAGAAGACTTCAAGCATGGTACAATGATGAGACGATCAGCCACAGTAAGACATGTGATTGGTGTAAATGTTTCAAAGATGGCCGTATGTCCATCAGTGACCATCCCAGCCATGGTGGTTCCCAGCCCACAGCAGTCATTCCTCTGAACATTCACCGTGTGGAACACCTGATCCTGGATAAAAAAAAGAGTTAAAAAAGGATGATAGTATGTTACTACATGCAGTAGTAAGTGGCAAGTATGTCCTATTACTGATAGGCAGAGCACATGTTGGGGGCCAGTCCAGAGACCGTTGATCAAGATGGCAGACAACAGTGTTAATGCATGCATGGAACAGCGTGTGGTGATGACGTTTCATGTGAACGAAGGCGTAAAACCCGCAGATATCTACAGAAGACTTCGAACATGGTACAACGATGAAACGCTCAGCCGCAGTAAGACGTGAATGGTGTAAATGTTTCAAAGATGGCTGTACGTCCATCAGTGACTATCCCAGCCATGTTGGTTCCCAGCCCACAGCAGTCATTCCTCTGAACAATCAGCATTTGGAACACCTGATCCTGGATAAAAAAAAAAGGATGCTAGTGTGTTACTACATGCAGTAGTATGTGGCAAGTATTACTGATAGGTGGCGCACATGTTGGGGGCCAATCCAGAGACCGTTGATCAAGATGGCAGACAACAGTGTTAATGTGTGCATGGAACTGCGTGTGGGGATGACGTGTCTTGTGAACGAAGGCGTAAAACCCGCAGATATCTACAGAAGACTTCAAGCATGGTACAACGATGAAACGCTCAGCCACAGTAAGACATGTGAATGGTGTAAATGTTTCAAAGATGGCCGTACGTCCATCAGTGACCATCCCAGCCATGGTGGTTCCCAGCCCACAGCAGTCATTCCTCTGAACATTCACCGTGTGGAACACCTGATCCTGGATAAAAAAAAGAGTTAAAAAAGGATGCTAGTGTGTTACTACATGCAGTAGCAAGTGGCAAGTATGTCCTATTACTGATAGGCAGAGCACATGTTGGGGGCCAGTCCAGAGACTGTTGATCAAGATGTCAGACAACAGTGTTAATGCGTGCATGGAACAGCGTGTGGTGATGACGTTTCTTGTGAACGAAGGCGTAAAACCCGCAAATATCTACAGAAGACTGCAAGCATGGTACAACGATGAAATGCTCAGCCACAGTAAGACATGTGAATGGTGTAAATGTTTCAAAGATGGACGTACGTCCATCAGTGACCATCCCAGCCATGGTGGTTCCCAGCCCACAGCAGTCATTCCTCTGAACGTTCACCACGTGGAACACCTGATCCTGGATAATCAACGCATAACCTGTCGTGAAATTGCACAAGAGACAAATTTCAGCACTCATGACGAAGTGAAACAGGCTGTCCTAGGATGATTCAGGCTTACTGAGAAATCTGCTGAAGCTTTCCAGGCATTTGGTAAATGTGTGTAAATGTAGCAGGGGAGTATGTCGAAAAATAAATGCAGTTTCCACTCCTTGAAAGTTGTTCTATTATTATATAAACTCAAAAGTCCCGATTTGACTTGAATGCCCCTCTTACTCATGCATCCAGTCAATCCAACATTGTCCTGATGCAGTCCACCACAGTACGCCTAGTTCCGCCATTTTTTCTACTTAGGGAGCCACCGTTTCTTTTAGTTTTTGCAGCCAGTTCCCTGACGATGCACATGTGCCACATTATATCATCAGGGGGATGACTGCAAGAACTACCAAGAGACAGCACCCCCCTAATGATGTACAGCAGCACAAGCACTGTAGAGTACCCTACCCCAGATCTCCTGGGATGAACAACACCAGGAGGCTATGGGCCTCACTTGGGACATCATTGTCACTAAGGCAAGAATCCCAGGAGTGGCAGGAAGGGACAAGAAACAAAGGTATTGAAAAATAAATAGGAGTGCAGTGAAGAAAGGTGGTTGGGGAAGGTGAGGGTCTGCTTTAATGAAAACCTTTGTTTGCAATACTATATTGGTGACTGGGTCACGTTAAAGCCCATTGGACACTTACCACCAAAAACCACCGAACAAAAAATCCCCTTTATTTTGTCCTTCTTATTATCTCCAATGGGTTTACCAAAGTGGGGACATTTTGCTAGTCTTGTTTTTTTGCCAAATATTTTTTTTCCCCTGCTAGAGTTATTCACCCTGGGGTCATCACAGAGGACAAGGGGGCACTCTTTACGTCTGGAGGAAAAGAAATGTATTCTCCAAATAAAGAAAGGTTTCTTTCCGTAACACTACATTTTGCCACAAGCTACCCATTTTATTCATTTTTTACATGTTATTTTACTTCGTAAACTGCTCTCAGCTAATGATGGGCCAAAGGTTGGCTGGATGTGAGTCAAATCTCTCGTACCAGTGACAGTAGGAAGTCAACAAGAGCCAACTGCCAATCAGGATCAGTCATGCTGGGGGTGTGTGAATGCTTTGATAAGGCAGACGAGCTGTAAACATTTACAACCGGGACAAAAAAACATTTCCTGATTATCTTTAACCAACCAATTCCAGACATTTGTTTTCATTCTGTGCCAAGAAAAAAAAACACCTTAAATAACATAAAGGGGGCTTCTACTGCTTTTAAACACTTTAAATCGGGTTTGAATTCTCATTTTAAATAGTATTTTTGTTAAATCTACTTTAAAATAAACAGTTTATAAAACTATGAAATGTATACAGAGTATCATAAAAAACACAAAAACCAGAGGTTACCTTAAATGAAGAAAGAATGCCAAAACAAGCTGTAGATCCAAAGATGCAGGCGGCTGACATTATATATAGATCATAGGTTTACCTTAAAAAAGGTAAGCCTGGCCCTTCCCCCAATCCACCTCCAGAGACTCTGTACTAGGCTGCATTCACACCTAGCAGAAGAGTAGTACCTAGAGTATTCCTTATGGTTTTCAAGTGTTTTTTTCTTTCAGGCGTATCACGTGCATTATTCAGGCATGGGCATAGTGGGCAGCACAGTGGCTAAATGGTTATCACTTCCACCTGGCAGTACTAGGGTCGTTGGTTCAAATCCTAGCCATGGCACCGCCTGCCTGGAGTTTGCATGTTCTCCCTGTGCCTGCGTGGGTTTCCTCTTGGTACTCCAGTTTCCTCACACATTCCAAAGACATGCTTGTAGGTTAATTGGCTCCTGTCTAAATTGGCCCTAGTATATGTATGTATGAATGTGAGTTAGGGACCTTAGAATGTATGCCCCTTGAGGGTTAGGGACTGATGTGAATGTACAATATATATGTAAAGTGCTGAGTAAATTGATGGCATTATATAAGTACCTGTAATAAATTCAGGCATTTTTGCATGTTTCAAGCTTCAGGAGTTTGTTTCCTGGACAGGGAAAGGGGAGGAGAGCAGTTCTATAGGAGGAGAAGAATAAATGCAAAAACGTACATATCACGTCTTTACAGATGCTACCATTAAAGTTTATTCGACCAAAAACCAAAAAAAGTATGTACTTTTTGAAAGCAGAGCAAATGAGCGCAGGAGAGTGAACAGGAACAATTGGAAAGAATAGGATTCTGCATAGTCAAGTGTAGTAAGGCGTAGTTGGGCATAGTAAAGTGTAGTCAGGCGTAGTTGGGCATATTAAAGTGTAGTCTGGCGTAGTTGGGCATATTAAAGTGTAGTCTGGCGTAGTTGGGCATAGTAAAGTGTAGTCAGGCGTAGTTATTATTATTATTCAGGCGTATTATAGTATTATACAGTATTTATAAAGCGCCAATAGTTCACTCAGCACTGTACATTACAAAGGGGGACAGAACATGTGACAGAACAATACCAATACAATGCAAAACATGAGGGGATCGAGGGCCCTGCTCTTTCGAGCTTACAATCTAGAAGTTGGGCATATTAAAGTGTAGTCAGGCGTAGTTGGGCATAGTAAAGTGTAGTCTGGCGTAGTGGGGCATATTAAAGTGTAGTCAGGCGTAGTTGGGCATAGTAAAGTGTAGTCAGGCGTAGTTGGGCATATTAAAGTGTAGTCTGGCGTAGTTGGGCATAGTAAAGTGTAGTCTGGCGTAGTTGGGCATAGTAAAGTGTAGTCAGGCGTAGTTGGGCATATTAAAGTGTAGTCAGGCGTAGTTGGGCATATTAAAGTGTAGTCAGGCGTAGTTGGGCATAGTAAAGTGTAGTAAGGCGTAGTTGGGCATAGTAAAGTGTAGTCAGGCGTAGTTGGGCATAGTAAAATGTAGTCAGGCGTAGTTGGGCATAGTAAAGTGTAGTAAGGCGTAGTTGGGCATAGTAAAGTGTAGTAAGGCGTAGTTGGGCATAGTAAAGTGTAGTCAGGCGTAGTTGGGCATAGTAAAGTGTAGTCAGGCGTAGTTGGGCATAGAAAAAGTTTAGTCAGGGGTAGTTGGGCATAGTAAAGTGTAGTCAGGTGTAGTTGGGCATAGTAAAGTGTAGTAAGGTGTAGTTGGGCATAGTAAAGTGCAGTAAGGCGTAGTTGGGCATAGTAAAGTGTAGTCAGGTGTAGTTGGGGCATATTAAAGTGCAGTCAGGTGTAGTTGGGCATAGTAAAGTGTAGTCAGGTGTAGTTAGGCATAGTAAAGTGTAGTCAGGTATAGTTGGGCATAGTAAAGTGTAGTCAGGTGTAGTTGGGCATAGTAAAGTGTAGTAAGGTGTAGTTGGGGCATAGTAAAGTGTAGTAAGGTGTAGTTGGGGGCATAGTAAAGTGTAGTTGGGCATAGTAAAGTGTAGTAAGGCGTAGTTGGGAATAGTAAATGTAGTAAGGCGTAGTTGGGCATAGTAAAGTGTAGTCAGGTGTAGTTGGGCATAGTAAAGTGTAGTAAGGCGTAGTTGAGCATAGTAAAGTGTAGTCAGGTGTAGTTGGGCATAGTAAGGCGTAGTTGGGCATAGTAAAGTTTAGTAAGGCGTAGTTGGGCATAGTAAAGTGTAGTCAGGTGTAGTTGGGCATAGTAAAGTGTAGTAAGGCGTAGCTGGGCATAGTAAAGTGAAGTCAGGTGTAGTTGGGCATAGTAAGGCGTAGTTGGGCATAGTAAAGTGTAGTCAGGTGTAGTTGGGCATAGTAAAGTGTAGTCAGGTGTAGTTGGGCATAGTAAAGCGTAGTTGGGCATAGTAAAGTGTAGTAAGGCATAGTTGGGCATAGTAAGTGCGGCGTAGTTGGGCATAGTAAAGTTTAGTCAGTAAAGTGTAGTCAGTTTGGCATAGTAAAGTGTAGTAAGGCATAGTTGGGCATAGTAAAGTGTAGTCAGGTGTAGTTGGGCATAGTAAAGTTTAGTCAGGTGTAGTTGGTGTAGTAAGGCATAGTAAAAAGTGTAGTGTAGTAAGGCATAGTTGGGCATAGTAAAGTGTAGTTAGGTGTAGTTGGGCATAGTAAAGTGCAGTAAGGCGTAGTTGGGCATAGTAAAGTGCAGTAGTCAGGTGTAGTAAACAAGCAGAAAAACACTCAAGCATAAACGTTGGATTGTTTTGACGTTTTTTTTTTTTGCTTAAACTTAACTTTAAAACAAGAGTTTACTTACCACTGTAGCTGCAGGCACTGTGAAGCAATCTATCCTTGGCATTCACATCAATTCAGTAAATTTACTGAATTATTATTCTAGGCAGCTTAGTCCCCCTTCCAAGCAGTGACTCGGCAGCCTTCCATACTACAGTATAATGTCATTGCAGAGCAGAAGCTCTAAGAGGGCAAGAGGAAGAGTAGAATGGACTGAACTTCGAAGAGAAAAAAAATAGACAACTTCATTGCCTCTGCTGTGAACTTTGAGAATGAAATTCTCCACAATGGCTGCAGCTACAGAGGTCAACGAGGGCTTGTTGTAAAGCTCATCAACTGCTTGTTAAACGCTTCCTGACCGCCTTATAGCAGACGTACTGCTACAGGGTGGCAGGGATGTGCAAAATCATAGATATATATATACATATATACTGTATCTATGATTTTGTTTTCCCGGGTAGGGGGCACGCATGCACTCCTTACCCGTGCCACTATTGGCTCCTTGGCATGTCAATTCTCTGACAGGGGTGAGGTCTGTATGTGAACAACACAGGTCTCTCCCCTGTCAGCACGAACAGGCTGCTTTGTATTGCAATGCACAGCAGAACAATACAAAGCAGCTTGTTTCCCTAGTAAAACACACACAGCACACACTGTTAATCCTTTGATTGCCCCAGATATTAACCCCTTCCTGCTCAATGTCATTAGCACAGTGTCAGTGCTTTCTATCAGCACTGATCACTGTACTGGTGTCACTGGGGATGTCAGTGGTAGTTAGCCAGTTCCCCCCCTGT